GAGAGAGAGAGAGAGAGAGAGAGAGAGAGAGAGAGAGAGAGAGAGAGAGAGAGAGAGAAAGCGAAAGGGACATTACCGTATTATATTCTCGACAGAACTCTGTATACACATACTTATTGGTGTTATTATCGTTCTTATTCTTATTATTGCTATTATTATCGTCACGCTATATTACGTATATTATTATTAGTGAACGAAACGCGATATTACGCGTCTCGAATATTATTATCAGATTATTACGTATGTCTTATTATATAGCGCGAGATAAATGTTCTCGCGAGCGGCGGGACACTTCGCGCATTGCTATTGCTGTGAGATCGTGAGATCAGATCATGCAAAGTAGGGACGAGAGCGAACACGAATAGTTGCGGAACAGACGTGAATAAATGCAGGCACGCGCTTTTCCTCCGATATGTGCATAAAAGAGACGAAAAGTGTAAATTTGAAAGCTTATATGGCTCAAGGTCCATTTGTTCGTGCTCGTTCGCGCTCTTTGTTTGATCACAATCTGAACGAACTTACGACGGTTAAATAACGCGTCGGCGTGTCGCGTCGTTATTTATTTGTCACTGAGATATATAATGATTTCATTATTTCCGTAGATGTATTATACATTGTAGGATCGCGCGGCAGGATTACCACGTGCACTTCATCGTGACAGCTGGATCCGTTAATTAAACGTTTCCTTTGAACAGAACGCGGCGCATCGTTTATCGCCGCGTTAGACAGTTGTCGATACATTATCGATACTTTTTAAGGAGTTAAATCGGGATATCGACGATAACTTAAACGCAAAAAGCTTCCTACAGCATACGAAATATACATAATACACACATGTAAAACAAATGCGTGGAAACGGGATGTTACATGCCGAAATGGAACGGAAGAATCTTTTTTTTTTTTTCTGAATCGCGCGTTGAAAATCGAAAAATCGCCTATACTACTCATTTGATCAGCTTTGTGGAATCCCCAGCTGTCTGTCCCTTGGCTTCAATACAATTTTATCCTCCGATTCCATTCACGGTGTAATATCCACGAAACAGAACGAATAGGCTATACACTTCGTGGACGTTCGAAGAGGAAAAAGGGACACATACATATACATACACAAGTCTACGATACGTTTATACTTACAGAGAAGTGGGAAATAGTTACGCACACGGGAACACGCACACAAAGAAACACACAACAAGCAAACACACCCAAAACGGTAATTATTAAGACATTACATTCTTCGAAACACGTGCGCGCCACTACTACATTGTTGATATAAATTGCGATCCATGATATGATTATTACTATATTTATGATATAATTATTATCTTGCATTGTCTAGTCATACGTTATTATTGTATAACTAACGATATTAATTATTAATTAATCTGTACTACCTAGTCGCATTATGTGTTGCATGAAGAGAAAAAAAAAAAGAAAATCATGAAAATTTCAAAGGCAAAAGAGACCGTGCGAGCGAGAGAACAAGAGAGAAAAAGTGAGAAGAACGAGTGCATGAATATAAGAAGAAAGCAAACGAGAAACATTCGGATAATAATTCGCGCGATAGTCACAACACAAGTACAATATGAGACGCTGAAAATTTTAATTATTTATTTGTAGTAAAAAAAAAAAAGTAAATGCGAGTAATGAAATAACGGTGCTATAACAACCGTTCCAATATAAATCTAAAAAGAATAATATAACAAATATTAGGAGTACTTGGTTTAAATTTCTCCAAAACACTGAATTTAGTCTACTTACATTTTCAGCGTTTCATATATTTCTGTGGAGGATGCGGAATGAGAAGAAGAGAGAAAGAGAGAAAATATGATGAAAGTGCGTAAGGGAGAAAAAGGGCAAGTGTATGAGGATTTTCTCCGCAGACATATATTGCTGATGAATCGATAATGATCGAGTTATAGCGATCAGATTTGCGATACGACAGAGGAAGGGGGAGGGGGGGGGGCATCAAACTTTCGTCGCGATTCTCTCGTCACGCGACACTCACGATCTTGTTGATCGAAAGATGGACTTGAGAATCGCATGGAAGAAAGCGGTCGGTTTACAAACAGTAATACACACTGGACTGCTAACTGCGTCCCTTTAACTGTTGCCAAAAAGTATGTACGAATATGGGCAGAATAATCTTCTATGTACTTTTGTGTATATATAAGAGCCAATTACAGAGAGACTGGTCATCTAACTTTGTTACCGTCTTTCTCTTACTTGAGACTTGTATACTGCACATCCATTTCGCACATTGCTTTACATAGGCAACATATGTACATAAGGAAAATAAGAGGAGTTAGTAGTCTAATGTATTATATAGTTGACTGTAAAGTCTTAGCTAGTCCGAGTCGCTCGGCGCTTTAACGAGAGAAGACTGATGATTGTAATTCGTTAAAATGCGCACGAGTTTTAGACTTTTATGCAAATTATTATCGAAGCATCGAAGCGACTAAGAGGCAGCTAACGACAGAAAAATGTGATTGATTGAATAATTAGATTCTTTAGGAACGAAGTGGAAAATAAGCGATTGATTCAATCATGGTGATACGAATTGAAAGAGACATCGTCATTGCAGGAATTAACGAATGATTTGAAAATGCTGGAAAAAGAAGAGTAATGACATCGCCGAAAGAATGTCTTAAAAATTAATGTGTGTGTGTGTGTGATGTTTTCTTTTAATTCGTATCTCCAAGATTTCTTATCACTTGTCGCGCGCGACGACGAGATCGATAGATCGAACGAAACGCGCGCGATAAAAAAAGACACCGAGGGATAGATCGCTATGTCTCGATCGATCGTATATCCGCAAGACGATTAGGGAAAGCAACTGATAACACCAGCAATTAAGTCGAATAATGATTATGATAGTGAGAGTAGCGAAAGGTAGAGAGAGAGAGAGAGAGAGAGAACGAAGAAAAAAGCGTAATTATGTCATGAAACACGCGCGCGCGCGTCGCAAGGCTTTCCGTGACGCACTCGTGCGTGCAGGTTTAGTAAAACAAAAGAAGGAAAAAAAGAGAAAAAATGAAGAACAAAACGAGTATTAAATATATGCGGGGGCCGTGGAGAGGAGGGAACCTTCCTTTTATCCATGTAAAAGAGAAAAAAGGAAAAGAAAACACCGACGGGCGTCCTCCACTATACTTTCCGCGACGTCCGTCGGCATCCCGTCGTCTCGAAAAGAATAAAAAAAAGAAGAGATAAATTTAAAGCAGAAGTAAAACGCGCGATATAAAGATATATATAATATATATACATATATATATATTATATATGTATATACTTGAAAAATATATGATTATATACATATACATATACATCATACACGTATACGCGGTTCGCTCTCGGTTTTCATCCGAACGCAGCATCCCTGTATCCCGCAAGAAACATCCCCTTTACGTGCGTCGCGCTTCTTTTACCCTTCTGTGCAATCGAAAACCCCATCCTGCCTTCCTGCTTTCCTCCCTCCCTCCCTCCCTCCCACCCGAGGAGAGCTCGCGGGCCCTCCCCATATTGCAATATTTGTACTTTTCCATGTTGAAACCTCGATATATAATAAATTATATTAACAAACTTCGATCGCCTGTCGTCTCTCGCATGAAATGTTACCTATTCATTGCGCCTCAAGAAATTTTCCTTGTCTTTTCTTTAGCTGTTACATATGCTTTATATAATAAGAAATGATAAATGTGGAAGGTTGGATAAATATAATAATAAGAAGAATTCGTATGTTTTTGTACATTTCTACGTTGCTTTTATTTGATAATCATTTGTAACGTATTTTCTCTGACTGTTAATTTTCCACAATTTTTACCTTATTTACTAAAAAACGTATTTCCATAATAATTAAAATAGCAACTTTGTTCAATTAGCAATTGAAATTGCTTCGTTAAAATTGCACTCAATATTAGATATCCATTTGTGATAAAGTTTCGAGAAAAAAATTTCAACCACAGCTCCCAGGTAGCAAGCTGTCGTCATTTTGACATCGATGGTTAGTCATTTTTAATTATTGACGTCATGTGACCTATTTAAGATGTAATAATAACGTTATCATTCTTGACCAATTAATGACATTATTATTTATGACGTCTTTACAATGTCATACTTGATGACGTTGAATAAATGGCCAATCGTCGACGTATTAGTAACGTTATTAATGGTCAATTAATAACGTCATATATTTATTCCGTTAATAACACAAAAATAATGACATCTTTTCAACGTCGACTTATGACATTATGTACCTGTGACAAATCCACGTCATTTTTACGATGTTCAAACGTCATTCATCATTTTAACGTCACATTTGTCATAAGAATGCCTAAATAATGACGTTAAATAGACGATACCTTGCTACCTGGGAGGGTTTTGGTCAGTATAAGTTTTTTTAATTTTCAACTGACAATCACTAAAACATCTATTTTTTCTTCTTCGGTGCGAATTCTAAACCTCTTATATAATTCTTTTTTATCTGATATTTTTCTGCAATAATAAAGAAAGTTTACGTGATTGTAAAATACTAAAATAATATTAAAATCAAAGCGACTCACCTGTGAGTAATTTGTACACATATAAAATTTGATTCCCCTGAACAAGAACACTAGGGGTCTTTTTACCAGGATCGTCGGTGATTGTCGCGCTCGCGCCAATATTCTGGCACTCTTTGCTGAATTCTTTCGGATTGATTCCGAACGTTTCTAGATTGTTTACCAATGTTACCTGTAATTTGTATGATGTGTAATCAGAAAAATAATTCTTGTATCAAAAAAACTACACGCCGATAAGATATTTAACAATGTATTAAGACACGGAAATAACTCGCAAATCTCAACTTCTTTGAAAAAAAATATCCGTGGAAGCTTTAAAAGTTATTAAATTCCTGTTTCATTTATTCTAAACCGTGACTTTTACCTTTTTCCCGCCTGATCGCACTGTTACTCTCATGTCGATCGGTTCCAATTTTCCAGTGTGCAACAAAGTATTTCCAGCTAGGGTAACCTCGTGCATATGCGTCATACGACCGATAAACTTGTTTATTCCATCCTCCATCGTTACAGTCACCTGATGAGCCTTAGTTCGCATAATTCCCGCCAATGGGGGATTCAATTTTAACGTTCTACAAAATTAACCGCTGTCAATGTAGAAAGATATGCAGAATCGAATTTATACGTGCAGCATTGTAGTCTTACTTTCCATTTTGCAGATCCTCCGCTTTCACGTACTCAGTAAAACACTTTCTGATCTCGGCTCTTTTCATTACGTCACCCTTTCTGCAATCATCACCATGTATTCGGTGTAAAGTGATACAATACACACGTTTATATACTACGACGATGTAACATTCAGCCACTTTTGTCATCACCACATAGAAAATCGTCTTTTCTGTAATTACATTGCGTCGCGATAAAGTGGCGTCACTCATCAAGTGCCACGCCTACCATACTTACTCATAGCCAAATTTTGAAAGGACTGGCAGAACGTCAGCAGTCACTCGGTAACATTCTGACACGACAGCGCTATTCGAAACCACTGGTTCAGCCGCAACTGGTTCTTCGGTGACAACTAATTTCCTCACAAGTGGATGATCAAACTAAAATAAATGAATAAAAATTTCTTGTATTCAATATTTCAAAGAGCTTATTTTCAAAAAAGTTTTTTAATCTTGTCAGAAAGAATCAAAGACAAACAACAAATGTTACCTTGATAGACAGCAATGTTTCAACACCTTTTGTAATGGATGTGTTAATTATTCCTTTAGCCTTCATTTCCGCTAGAAAAACCGATAGTTTTTTATACCGAGATTTCTTTACATCAACATTTTTATCCGGCGGACAAGCGGCTAACAGATGATTTTTGAAGAAGTTGGACGACAACATTGGCAAATCACTAGATTTTACCGTCGTTTTACACGCTTTCAAGAAACAGTATTCCAGTAGCGCGTCCATCTCTTGAACTGGATCAACTACTTCTGGCTCAACTATGCTCGAAATTTGTACATCTTCAATTTCTACATCTTCTTCTATATGTTCCTAAATAATATAGAAGCAATCAATTTATCTTTGTCTATTTTCAAGAGAATCTCCAACTTAATTTGAGAAACCTTAGAAATGTCTTTAACTACCTCGCTTGAATTCTCATCGGTGTTCAATTCATCTAATTTAACCGATAGAGTTTCAGTTTGATCTACGATTGCTTCTTGATTAATCGATTTGATATCTTCTAATGTATTTGTAGGACTGTCAACATTCGGTGAACCCAAATCAGGCCTCAGCGGTGGTTTACCCAATTGACATAGCATATCACCAATGACATGAAATACCTCCACGCATTTTCCATGTCCAGCTGCCATATACATGTCTTCACTGGAAAGCGCAGTAATGCCAACCGCGACAGCAGCCTGCAAAAGAAATATTGTTTTTCTCTCATATCAATATTTTTATATAGGATAGAACAAGCCTATTCTGTTATTTTCAACTTTAAAGTAATATAAAATTTATGGCAACAAAGAATACCTTGTTGCAATAACATGCTTATAACTACCTTATACAATCATGATTGTTTCTTGAGAATACAAGTGTGATCTTTAAATGTTCAATATACACTGATTAGAAACATAAACAATATCGTGACAAATGGATGAAATAGCCTTGCTCTACCCCATGATCAACAAGATGCAAAGATAAAATCTAAACCTTGTTTTCCTCAGTGTTAATTGACACTGGAGTACCTTTTGGTAGTTTACCAAAGCTATATAAGGTCACCGGTTCCTTCAGTATCAATCCAGGCAACATGAGATCTGCACCTCCTGCCAATTTGGATATAACTGGAGTGTGCGTAGTAAAAGTGTTTAATAAATATGGATGGTGCCATAATGTATAAATTGTAGGAAACAGCAGAGTGTCATATGAATCCAGTTGAAAGAACATGGGTATCTTTGCGACACAGTACACTTTTCCTACATGTCCATTGTGTGTCACTATTTTCATAATGCTGATGGCTTCCTTTTTAGGCAACAATGACTGAATCTCTTCATCCGATAAATTCGGATATGCCGCCAATACCTCCTCGCATAATTTTTTCCTGAAAAAGAGATAACAATAACGAATTGTTTCTCTTTACTTAGCGTGTACAAATATAGTTATTAAAAATAAAACATATTCAAATATATTATAAACATAAGTTTCATTTAAGATATTTGATTATTATAATCAGATTTCCAAATTCCTTTCTATGTTTTTTATTATCTGTAGAAAATATGTATGTAAAATATATTGATAAAAAGGAGACAATAACAAAGATTTGTTTAACAGACGAGTATAACGAGAACTACTGAAACAATAAGGATTACTAAAACGTCCGAAAAATACTACGAACCTCTCAGTTCCTTTTAGCTGATAATTGGTCTTGACTTTGAATGGCTTAATAAACATTTTGAACGGACGAAATTCCCAATCTCTCGACGAGTGTACGATGTTCAAACCTAACCCTGATGCACCCTGATGTCCCGTACAGCCAATACAGCGCCACATCCTTATTTATCCCCGTTGATGCTGCTCCGCGTATAGTGGAAAAATAATAAACGCTAGTAAAGTAGCGCTACCAACATCACGGATGTCGACGTTGATAATTCGACCTTTTGTTTCCGATGAAAATATTGATCTCGATTTCGAGCTGATATCAAGCGATGATATCGGCTTCAATCGGAGCAATTTGTCTTTTCTCGTATATTCTAACACTTAAAATAAATAAGAATTTAAAAATGTCGAAAAAAAAAGAAAAGGAAAGTTTGGAAATGGCCGGAAGATTCCATTATTATTGTTATTGTTCATTCTGTATACTCTCCTTCTTTCTTTTCTTTCTCTCTTCTTCGCACGAGGCCTCTAAAAAAGTGCAGAAACAATCTCTTATAACAATTTTTACATTTTATACTAAAAATGTAGATTAACTTTAATCTCGCTTTTATTCTTTACCTTTTTTTAATTTTTAAAACTGGAAAAGATAACAATAAGTGAATTAAACTGGAAAAGATAACAAGTTAAACTGAGATTTAAGTAAATCTGTGTTGATAGAAATGGACATTAGACTTTGCTCGAACTCCAATATTGTAAAATTTAATTAGCGATGAATTGTTTGAACGATCGTTTAATCGTATCATTGACTCTTTCTAATTTAATCCTTTTCACAATATAAATAATAAAAAATTAATAATTCTATGCATATTTTACAAAAACACAAATAATATTAAATTGATCATCTTGTTTTGAACGCTAGAGAGTGTAAACAAAGAAATACAGCTGATAGAAACACTCCCCTTCCCCGTCCTCCAATCGCGTGTCGTCGTATTCCTCGTATCATGCATCGTGTCCTCTTACGGCACGTGCAGCAACGTGCGAAACAGTAGGTGCGAAGTGTGCGCCGTGAGGTCGACATAACCTCAAAGCGTGTCATTATGCATAATCGAGCCGCGACGGGCGGCCTGCGAGTGTTTTGAGGTCGTTCACGAACGGAATCGCGTACGCACGTCGTCGCCTCGCCGTTCGTCTAATTGAAAGAAACGGGAAGACATGGCGATCGCCAACGTCTTACTGCGAATGGACATCGCGAGGTTTACCGGAGTCAGAGTGAGTTTTTTTCCCGGCACTTTCGCTTTTTCCCTTTTTATGCGCGGCTGTCATGATCGGTGACGATTGATCTATCCGTCCCTTTTGCTTATGGCCATCGATCTTTCTTATTCCTTCTTCCTTTTTTCCTTTTTATTTCGGCGCGCTCCAGAACGCGATCGCGCATACGTGTCACCACTGTACGTTATTATTATTCGTATTTTACATAATGCTCTTTCATAACTTTGCCATTGTACGGTACATTATTTTTAGTTTTATGTATACAACTTTTATATACTGACTCTCACGGCGTAATACTGTGACATATATTAATCATATTATTTATTAGAAGTCTTATATTTATTTTTTTCTTATCCACTCATTTGATGTCGATCTGTTCTTATTATCACGTACTGATAAATGATTTATTGATAAATGTCTTAACAAGCATTCTTATTTAAAGTTCTTGACACACTTTATAAAAAAGTTTTAATTTGAATTAAATTATCTTTGTGTGATAGTTATTTTTCTTAATATTTTTTTGATATATTTTTAACACGTCTCTCGTCATTTCACATATCTTTTCAATCTGTTTGCAATTTGCTCCAATAGACAATATTTCTTCATTGAGTAAGATAATTTTTACTTTATTTGTTGCACCGTTTTGATGCTTACTATGTTTTACGATTTTTATGACTACTCAACGAATTTTAAATAATGGACAACTTAAAAAAAGAACATACTTGCGGCCTTGACTTGATGATTAGTGATTACATTATGGCAAGCATCTTAATAAACAACACAATGTTAAAGCTTATTTATTTGCATTACTAAAAAAAAGAAAACAATTATGATTCTCTTGTAATATTTTGTCTATATTCGAATTACTTAAATTTCCGTTAATATTTTAATAATTTGTTAACATTGAGAATGACCGGTGTCGAAACGTTGAGAATGATCGGTGTCGAAACATTGTTTGTTGTTTATAATCTAAATATATTTTCTTTGTTTTCTCTCTTTTTAATTGTAATATTTTTATTTCGGCTCATTGGCCGTTAAATCATTTAATATTTATTATTAATATTTTTATTCCAAGAAAATACTTATAAATTTATAATATACTAAAAGAATTATTATATAATTTTAATAAATTTATATCAAATTGTATTTTCTTTTTACAAATTGCAAAAATACATGCTTTTGTATATTACTATGTTTTTAAATTAATTTAGAAATGTTTCATTATGAAAAGAAAATAATTTTGTATTTTTTTTCATACTACTTTAAGATAGAAATGTAAATCATTTAGTGTGATAAATGTTAAGTACTACACCTTTTCTAGTTTAAAAGTTTTACGAATTTAAATGTATTGTTAGTTTTAAATAATATAAATTTGTTTTTTCTCTGTCCCCAGCATTTAAGTACAAAACCAAATTTTGGTTTACTTTTCGACATTGATGGTGTGATAATTCGTGGAAAACAAATACTGCCACCGGTAAAAGAATCTTTCAAACGGCTTCAAGGGAACAATGGGAAATTTCGCGTTCCCACACTGTTTGTAACTAACAGTGGGAATTCGCTGCGTAGTCAGAAAGCGGCAGAGCTGTCAAAATGGATAGACGTCGAAGTCACGGAGTCGCAAGTTGTCCTGGCTCACTCACCGTTGCAAATGTTTGATTATCTACATAATAAACAAGTTCTCATATCTGGTCAAGGTCCAATAACAGATATAGCACGAGAATTGGGCTTCAAGAAGACTACAACTATAGAGGAACTAGTGAAAAACTTTCCATGCTTAGATTATATAAACGTAAAAAAAAGAAATCCAATTTGTGGTCCAATTGATCCAAATTTCCCACAAATCGAAGGAATTTTGCTCTTGAGCGAACCAATAAACTGGGAAACATCGTTGCAATTAATGGTAGATCTTCTAATTACCAATGGAATGCCCACGGGATTACCTACTGCTATTCCATATCCACACATTCCAGTGTTGGCATGCAACATGGATTTGTTATGGGCATCGGAAGCGCCGATTCCACGATATGGCCATGGTGCTTTTTTATTATGTCTTGAAAACTTGTATAAAAAAGTCACAAGTAAAGACATAACATACGCTGCTCTAGTCGGAAAACCTAGTGAAATTACATATTACCATGCCAATCAAATGCTCGTTAATCACGCCAAAAGCATTGGTATTGATAATGTTGATACGATTTATGCTATTGGGTGTGTATTAAGTAGTATTAAATAGAATTATATATATAAATAATTAATAAACAGTTTATACATATATGATTTATATATATATATATATATATATATTACAGAATATTATAGTGTATATAATCTACATACATTTTTACAGCGACAATATTAACACCGATATTTTTGGCGCAAACCTATATGACAAGTATTTATCCCGTTATGAGTCTGGAGAGGGGACTAAGTCTCGCAGCTTGGAAAAACTCCTTGGGAAAAACAAAAGAGATCCCAACACCAAGGCCTGCATTAGTATTTTAGTCGAGACTGGCGTACATCAACGAGATTCCAAGTTTATACCCGAACATAGTCCTAGGGATTTCTTACCAGTCGATGATGGTCTATGTAAGCCGGCATTTATCGTAGAAGATGTCGGGCAAGCCATCAATCTTGCGTTTAAGGAAGAGAAGTTTGAATAAGTTAGCGCATAATAGATAACCTTGGGATAATTATATCCTTATATCCTTGAAAAAAAGAAAGAAAGAAAGAGAGGAAGAGAGAGGAAATGTGCAAGATAACGTGAGTATTATAGTAAATAATTTTTTAGAAAATGTTAGCCTTCACTATAGACGACGTTTCGCAGCGGAGAAACGGAAAGCAGGAGAGGCTATAATACATTATAAAAGTTATATATTATTTTGCTCCTTTTTCTATATCTTTCTGATTCTTTTAAACTGCCTACTTAACAAAAAACGAACAGGTTTTAGCGAACTGTATCAATTAAAGAAAAGAATTACCACGGAAAAAGAAATAAATTTAGATTAATTTATATTATAGATAGAAAAACAAAGAACGATATTGCTATATTATTGTAAATACAGTTGAATATCCTTTACATGTATATGTACATATAAAGGATTTTTATTATAAACTTTAGTATATTTAGGACTATTACAGTAAAACTTGTTTAAACAACGGTTCGGCATGTGTTCCGAACATAATTTTAAAGTTATCTAACAAAATTTTATTAGATGATCGACGTTGCACAATGTACATGAATCATCTCTAAATATGCGTTGTTGTAATTAATTATTATATCATATAGTTGTATGGTAAACTGAACTAAACATATTTGGCCTGCAAAGTACATAGTGCATTACACCTCGTTTAATGCAAATCGCAAAGCAATGCAAAGCAACGCAAAGTAATATATGTAACGTTTTCATAATAGTTAAATAATAGACATAATTTCGATTCGATTGTTCTTAAAATTCGCAGCTAATATATATATACTGTGTCTGAGGATTATATGCAAAGTATAATCTATACTCAAAATAACACACACACATGAGTAGATCATATTTTATTATATATATACATATATATACACGTATATGTATATAGTCAGGTCTAGTCTTGAAACTAATGCAGCTTGTTAACGAATGCGAGTAAATAAAAAAGGTATAGAGAGATTTTTTGTTGCTATAATAGAGACTAAGGCTAAGAGACATTTTTGTCACGAAAATAAATCTACAAAAATTAATGAATTTTAAACAAAATTATCGAAAATTTATTTTTCGAAATTATATTTTTAATTTTTGGAAGTAAACATAATGTACGTAAAGTTTATAAAAATCTCGTTAAATTTATAACGGTTCTAGAACCGTTTCTCTACTTTAAAGATCTGAAGTTTAATTCTATACAGAGCAAATTCTTGTATATTCTTCTTAATTAATTTTCTTTTTTTATATAGAGAGTTTCGAATTGTGTAGGTAATAATTTAGGAAGGGATTATTAAACATTTTTTAAATTAATCCACTCTCTAAACTAAAATACTTATTCTTAAAGTGCCATTTGTGCGTGTTGAGACATCTTATGTATAAAAGTTATAAAAATCGCATGAATTGACGATGAGCTAATTCGAAGTTAAAAGCGCACATTTATATTTTGTATATACTCTTACACGACGCGATTGTAACACAACGATAAGATCAAATATAATCATCAACAACGCTTAATGTCTGTCGAGACAAAGACTGACCACTTAAATAGGGTTTAAACGAACATCGTGAACAAACCGGCTTATCATCCATTCGCGACAATGAGGTATCATCAAAGCTTCATCGATCACATGCCAATAAAAGTTCTGCCTCTATCACTAGCATTACATAATAATTAACGAAAAAAGAGATACACTATACTAATTGTAAGTACAAACACACACACATAGATACACATTATACATACTCGTACGTATGTGTGTGTGTGTGTGTGTGTGTGTGTGTGTGTGTGTGTAAAAATATGTGTATATAATCCGTAATAATTTTTGAAAATGTATTATCTACATTATGTAGATATATTTATCACACACACACACACACACACACACACACACACACACACACACACACACACACACACACACACACACACACACACACACACACATTTAAATAAAAAAATTCGATATGTATTTATGTATATTATATACATCATAATATATGTATACATATACATAAAATTATTGCATATATACATGCATAATTATGCATACTTTAGTATGATGTATCTCACTTATATTCAAGACAGTTATTACATGTGTAAAAAGTGTCGCGTTTTATCGAGAGCAATATCCATATTATATCTTTTAACTATATTAAATGTAGAATTCTCATGATGTAGAGTGTGACTTTTATGGAGCAAATTAGAATTTATTTTAATAAATTGCAGATTTGTTTATTTTACCCACCGTCTTTATAGTTTTTAAAAAATTGAATTCCATGAAATATTTTAATCATGTCAAATTTTTGTATTTTTACTTTTTTTTAAATTTGTGATCGGTATTCACTTCATGCAATGGCTACTTTGTAGGATGCACAATTTGCACGCTAGCCTTGTCAACAGTGTATAATTAATTATTCATGCTACAGACAACACGATGGTTGGGTCTCATGACCCTTGAGCTGAGCCATCAAACGTTCGATTAAATAATTCGATTGCAATCAATTTGGTAACGGTTTGGACGGCTAAGTAACTTCATACGATGTAAGTAAGTTTCCCAACCCTCCCTGATATTAGTCACGAAAGTTAGAAGTCGTAATAGCTAATTCAACCCATTAATATTTGAAATCTTATTTTCGCGAAATTTTTATTTCATATCTTTGTAATTTAGTAATAAGGGTGAAGAATGATACTCATTTAAAATATAAGCTCTTAAATTAATAATTAAGTTAATTAATTTTCTATTTTACTAGATGTTTTTTAATTTTCATATACACGTATATACTAAAATAGTTTTTCAAGAAATTATTTTATTAAGAAATTTTCCAATAAAAACTTCGATAATACTCAATTAATAAGTATCATACAAACAATAGAATGTATAATATAATTATACAATACATTCTATGTTTAATATAATTTTTAGTACTTACATACATATATTTAATATTTTTGTAAATTTAAGTTTATAATCCATGAAAACGTTTGATGGACACTACGAGTTACGATAGGAGGGTCTTTTTATTCACTTGCGTTTAATTAGCTAAACCAACAGCTTTATTGGTTTAGTTAATTAAAAACAGGTACTCTGATATACGCGACCTACATTTTATTGTTAACGGTTTACACACGCTGACAGGTTTTTAGTGTTCTAGATTGAGATCGGAGAAGTATCATAACATTGCGTTCCGCCGGACAGAACTGGCATAACCGGCATGACCAGCTTAATTCTGATACGTCGATCCAATTAGTATTACTTTCTAAACCGTGGACACAGCTCATCCTCGTACAAATATGTATTTATTCTGCAAGTTGTCAATTAATCGTCTTTTTTCTACATTTTTACAGTTACCAAAACTATTTTTTATCTCTTATAATATTTAATTTAATTATTTAATTATTAATATTTTCGTATATCTATTGATAAATACTGATAAACATTGACGAAACAAAAGATGGCGGGAAAACTCTGCATTCGAATCGTTCAAACTAAATTGATTTTATTTTCGATATAGTCATTAAATTTTACTAAATTGCAAAACAATTACTAAATTTTACTAAATTCTGCTGTATTCAAACACATCATGTAATTTTTTTTCAAGATACAAAAAACCTTTGATAGTCACATTACTATAAAATAGGTAACATTTGTTGGCAAAGACATCACTTTGAATTATTTAAAGATTATACACTCTAGCAGAATTTAAAAAAGTTGTGTACTTGTGATAAAAATAGACAAAACTTCACGACTTATCGTTTTTCCTGAATGCGCTCGTTGCATAATACAAAGGAATGCACTCGAAAACTTGCGTGATATATTTTTCAACAGACATAACAGCTTGAATGTACGGCAATTCCAGCGAGCAATGTCGGATTAGCAATTTAACAGCAAGGTCAATTACGCGTTAGCCCGAACTAATATATTAATAAGCTCATAAATTAGACGACCGTATACGCGATAAAAGGCGTGGGTTGCAACGCGCGTTTGAGATTAGAATTCGAAGCTTCAGTCCCACTTCGGTTGCATCGCAGGGTGAAGATAAATCGCTCTTCTTATCTCTTCTAACACATCTCAATTATTCGAGCCGTAGAACAGTAATCCTTGCGAAACGAGACGTCGCATTTATGTAAGCGAATAAATAATTAATATTGTTGGAGCGATAATTAGTAATTGGTTCTCCCTCCCCCCCCCCTCCCCTTCAATTTATCTTCATCCGGTGAATAGGTGCACGATGATTGAAACGCGAAAGTTTAGTTCTCACGAAGATTTCACTATCGTTTCTTCTTCTTTTCCTCTTCCTAAAAAAAAGAAAGGAAGATTTCCGCGTTTGATTTTCTGGAGTTGATGGATAATGTGGGAATTGTTTGTTGCGTCAGGAACAGTTGACGAAGTACGCACAGTATATGCTTTAATTAACACAAGTGTATTACATATTATATATCTTTGTATATCAGATACACGTTATATGTACACAGTGTTTGATGCACATCGGCAAGTCTAGCTTGCTTTTGGCTATTTAATTCTCCTAAATTTAACCCGAAAAAGATACGAAGAGCAGTTTTTTCTTCTTTTTATTTTAGCACACTGCAACTAACGACTTACGACAGACAGGGGAGAGACGTGGATCTTACGTAATATACTAATAATACATCATGTTCGCATGTCATTAGACTTGTGTTACAGTGGTCACTTACACTAGCGCAGTGGATATAATATCACGTGTGCAAAACGCTTTTACGCCATATTTTCCGTTTTTATGAGTATTTTCTGCCGGAAACTGTCATTTGATCGTACGCGGAAACTAAAATATTTACCTAAAACCTTGCTCTTCAGTTGAGAAAAGTCACTTCAATATGCTTTTTTTATAAGTATATGCGTTACCGATTATAATTATTTTTTTAATTCTATGATGTAATTTGCTTTGCAGTTTTCTTTTCGATATTCTTAATACATGATATTTCCGCAATCTTCCTAAGAACGTTATCAGTGTGGCCAGTCTCCGTCTAAATACACGTTTATATCAAACTACGCGCGATTTTAAGAATATTATCACGATTTATTCAAGTATAAAAATTCTTAATCTCACATATGTTTATCGCAAAACGCAGCGGTCTTACTTCGAACTAAGTATTAAATAAATGAATCTCAGAATCAAATATTCATATCTGAATCCCTTTTCTATTAATGTATTATTAACTTTAATCTTATTGTTAGTTTAATTTACTTTTCATCTTTTTGTAGTTTTAAGAATAAGAAAAGGACGAAGAATAAATTAAACTGAGATTAAAGTTAATCTATATTGATAAAAATGGACATCAGTTTCATTGAGTGAAGTGAAAATGCAAGAGAAAATAATGTGCAGAGAAAGAGTCTGGTATTTTAATATCAATTAATGGATAAATGGTTTAAATATTAAAATAATTTGAGTGCTAAAAGCATTTCAAATGTTTACGTTTGTTATCGTTGTCTGAATGACTAAATGCAACTCTCAACGCTATAGCGGGGCTAATTTTCTGGTGCGATATTGATAACAGGTAGAGACACGTCCTTGATTCTAGCATCCATCTAGCTTCTCGTCTCGGGAATTTCTACCGTAACACTTCATCGCTCTCTGCAATCTCTCGAGGTATTCTTGCAAAGCATCTTCCTGGGCTAACTCCCTCGCATTGTCGGATCGCGCGATGGACCGCTTCTGCACGAGGGCGGAGAGCATTAGAGTCACCACTGGTAGCGTCATGCCCAACAGGAAAGTTGGCGTCATGATATTTCTCAGACCATGCTTCTTGAAGCCACGATACAGCTCCGACCAGATACCGTCGTCCTGTTCTTCTTGATGTTTGCCTAACTTTCCGTATAAATACGGCCGGATCTTACCAGTCGTGGCGATGTAGTTGTAATAGTGAGGATCGTAGGACTGTGCGTACAACTGCGAATAATAGACGTCCTTGTTGGGAGGAGGTTGATCGGAGTCGGGAAACCAGGCGCTCGCATCCTCATAGGGAACCGGTGGATTGCTGAGAATAGGCGGTCCTCGATGAAGACCTGGTGGTTTCGTGTAGATCACTTCCAATGGTGCCTTGGCCTTGAAAGGAACTGAGATGTCCAGAAAACGATTAACATTGTGGATAAAAAATCTACAATTTTTATTCGCGGTAAGTGTATTCTACACGTCTGTTTAAAAGTCACTATTAAAAGAAAAAGTTATCAATTAATTATCGTTTGTAGTTAATTATTCTATTATGTATAAGAATGTCGATTTTTTCCGATAACTGATTATGATAGCATGTGACTGAGTAATGGTAAATAATCCGGGATGTATGAGGTTAAATTCATATATATACATTTAAATACAGTATCATTATTTATCATGTAAATTTTATTCAAGAATCCGCGAATGTATAAATCAATTTTTACATTTTTAATATTTGTAGTAAAAAGTGCTTATTCATTCTTTCTTTCTGCACAAATTGTTAAAAATATGCATCATGACGTAATACACACACATAATACGCATTCTTGCAATATCAATTAAAGGTCATACTTCTGCTAAACTAATGTTTACGCACTTGAGAAAAATATTTTTAGACATGAATAAAATAAAATAGAATTAAAATTGAATAATAATAAAACTAAAAAAAAGAACAAATTGGAGAGAATAAAGGGCAGTGGGAGTCAGGCGCGGAAGGCGTCGCGCAATTGAAAAACACCACTAATAAGTGACAAAAACGATTTATTCGAATAACGCTCTTTTATTATGATAGTAGCGCTCTTACATTATGTATAACATTGACTGATCAAGTATCAAAAGAGATCAGTTAATGCTATACATACACAGTAATAAGTTGTTTTGGCTTTTATGGATTGTCTGCTTTCTTTCATTCTATACCTTTGACTAAAATTTAATTAATTGATTATCTGTTTTTGATATTGACTGACCAGCATATTAAAAACCGGTTTTTAATTATTAGTATTGTTTGCGATGCGATACTTTGTAATCGTGGTGAGTTCCTTTATTCTCGGGATGATTTATTATAATCTTAGTTTTTTGGAAATTAGTTTTCACAATTTATTATTTCTGATTTTTTCAATTTTTCTTTTTTTTTTTTTCATCCATTTAGTTTTGTCTGTTATTTATTTTGTATCTTAATTATCACGACGTGGAGGAGCTCACCGTTGATTGAAAAATTGTATTGATTAGTTATATAAATTAGTTTGTTTCTCTAAAGAAGGCTAAAAATTAGCCGAAACATGTAAGAACACTACTATCATAATAAAAGAGCGTTATTCGAATAGTTTTTGTCACACTTATTAATGTGTTTTTTAATTGCGCGATGTCTTCTGCGCCCGACTCCTGTTGCCCTTTATTCTCTCCAATTTGTGTTTTTGAATTATAAGGAGTCTTAATTTTATTATTATATAAGGTTTAATAATAAAACTGTAATGTGAAAATAAAAATTTATTTTTTTAGAAAAAAATATATAATGATAGATATAAACACTCGATAAATGTAAATCTTCCATCGAGAACATAAAGTTTTTTCTTTGTTGAATCACAATTTATAAAAAAGTGTTATTCTCTCGCATCTAAGACTATTTGCCTCTCATTGTCTTCTCTTTCTAAGATATGTTTCCTCACCTGCGATTGGTCCTTGATACAATGCTGGTCCAATCCTAGGTTGCGCAAAGGGAAACGGCTTCCCACGTAGCCTCCTCATTCTTTCTCGCCACATTGCCGGCGTTATTATATCGTTCCTGGTTTGGAAAGCGGGCACGAGTGGCACTGGTTGCAGCATTTTCTGTCCCAGGACAACTCCGGCTGGTGTTCTGATTACTGGCTGTATCGCCTGTATCATGGCCGGTTGTCCTACATAGCCGTAAGTCTGGCCAGCAGACGGTAACAGTTGTTCCCGCTGATCAATCTGTGGCACTAGTTGCGGCACCAACTGGACTTGGTCTACTTGTGACGTTTGCTGCACCTGTTGCTGGTTCACTTGAGGGACTAACAACTGTTGTTGTTGCTCGACATGGGAAATTGGTTGAGGATTGAGCGGCTCAATTGTCTTCGATGATTCCTGATTGATGATTGCATCCGAAGATCGCGATTGAACCTCCGGCGATTGTTGACTACGAAGGTAATGATCGAGAGATAAGCGAGATTCCTCGGGTGTCTTGGAATTCAGAAACGTGTTCAGCGCGACCTCCGCCTGGCTGATCGGTGTGTTTCCAGAAGAGTCTTGAAACTGTCGAGCGGACGTATCTGATTGAAAGGTCTGAACCGAAGACGAAATCTGTGATTTGAGAAGATTGGTTTCCACCGCTTGATGTGAACGCCCATTGCTTTCGGGTTCTACAATCGGATACAGCTTCTGAGAATGAGACGATACTACAGAGTTGGGGAGGTCGATTGAAACGTCATTCTTCTTAGCGGCTCTCTCGGAAAGATTGCTTTCTTCTGCGATGTATTCGGTGTACTCAGTAAACGGATTTCCTTCGTAATTGAGTTGGCTATTCGCCAAGTCGATCGCGAGGACGAAGAGGATTGCGAGCCTCATCATGATCCTATAAAAAAAAATAACTTTAATGAATCTGAAATATAATATGAAAAATATCAATAATGTTATATAAGTTATCTTTTTATGATCGCATTTCAAGACCGAAAAAGATTTTGGCACGTAGTTTACAGAATCAAATATGTTTACAAATAAATTCACAATTATTTAAGTTACTATTATGTGATCCACTTCGATCGAAAAATAAAATTTCTTTCATTTAATTAAGTTCATCTTCATCAATATATTTCAAATTGTAATTGTTTATATCTATCATATAATAGCTCTCTTTATCAAATTTGCTGTATCGGCCATCTTTAAATCGTTATTATATATTTCAGTGAAACTTTGCTAACGACGAAATTTCTCAGCAAATTTTAATGACGAGATTCAGTCAAGAGAGTCGGCAATCAGACTGCCGCTATTCCAGTGAAACGAATGAGCGTGAGATTTTTAACATACTGGAGAGGAAAGAAATGATGCTCGCGCGGGATACAGCACATAATCACGATTGTCTCTTAATACTCGCGTAAGTGGAACGGGACAGGAGAATGTCTGCTCGCGGCAATTTCGCCTCGAAGTCCTTTGCCTGCATTATTTACAGCGGCTATCATTTAGTGACCGGATTCGACAGATGCGAGAGCAATCGAAGAGATAGATCGAGGCATTACAACAAATATGTATGATAATGTGCTTTGCGCATTTACAAGTCGTTGACAGCGTGACACTTTCATCGATCAAGAGGCGAGGAGCAATCAACGAAACGCGCGGGGACAATTTCAGTGATTTGCGATTTTATTTAATTAACCCAATTTGCCATAATGTCTCATTTTCGAATATTTTAAAACTTGTAAGATTTCTCCATTAACATATATTCAAAATTTTACCAGGACATTGCATTGACGGATCCCCAGGAAGGGGACACCACGACTTTCTCTTGAAATCTTCTTTTTTAAAAAACTACTCTGTAAATATAAAAAAAAAATAGATTCTATTATATTATTCTACTTTTGTTAATATTTATAATTTTAAATAAAACATTTTATGAATCATTTAAATAATATTTTTTCAATGTAATAATTTAAATAATAATTTAGTACTCTATTTCTTTTCATATTTGACCTTAAAAGAAATTTCACTTGCTGTAAGTCAATGCCCTCCCCTCCCTTTGACTCTAAAATTTCACTTGTTGCAAGTCAATGAGGGTCAACGCACTACTGGTACCAAAATTGTTCAATATTTCAGAACATCAAGATAATGTTACAGAAAAAAATAGACGTCTGATATTTTGTACATCACGTGGATATTTGAAACGATGAAAATATTGAGACAGGAAGCTGCAAGATACGGTGCATCGAAAGTATTTGCATGTTAAAACGTGACCTCGAAACGGAAGGGAAAAGCCGTTCTGCGAGAGAGTGATGAACAACACGAGCACGTTTGCCACGTGTGTGCTGGCCCACACCTCGAGGAGAGAGAGTATTTGGGCTTCAAGTTTACCCGATACAACGCGATATGCTCGAAAGCGTACGCGATCGCTGCGTCATGTTGGAGAGCGCGATGCGCGAGATGCACTCTTTTGTTCAATGCTTCATGTTTAATGGAGGAAGCTAAAGAATCCTGACTCGACAAATCTCTTTCAATTTTTCTATTCCTCGCCCGAATTATTTATTCTTTTATCTTATTGACGACGTATGTCATCAATAAGATAAAAGAATATCCAGTTATTTGCGACATTTGTTGAGAACTACCTACTTTTCTGAATCTCGAGATCAATCATGTAACTTTTTCCTTAGGGTGGAAACGTGAAACGTACAATTTTTTGTATGTATGTGTGTAAATGTATATACATACGTAAAAATGTTCACTTTTCACATTTTTGTTGTACAAGAAAAATTATATCAATACTCTGGACGTGCCGCCGCGTTGGAAAAATAATAACAATTAAAAGTTTTGCCTCGCACGTTGAACAAGTCTATAATTGTTCGCTAAATTAGCTAAATCATTATAACACGTGTTCATATATATTTAATTTTGTTATTTCCTTTAATTTTATTTAATAACCACGTTTGGACAGAAATATCTAAGGCCTAATTCACAGTTAGTTCTTACATTCAAGTCCGTCTTAAATTCAGTTTTGAGATGTCACGAATCAATCAAGGGCCGGTATTCATAGTCGGTTCTTATTTTAAGATCGTCTTAAGTAATGTCTTAAGATGCTAATGCAGCTGTCTGATTGGTTCATGACACCTCAAAATTGAACTTAGGACGGTCTTGAATATAAGAACTGACTATGAATACCGGCCAACGACTTCATTATGCATCTCAAGACATTACTTAAGATAGTCTTGAAATAAGAATCGGTTATGAATATCGGCCTAAAAACATATGTAAAAGAAGACTAATATATTTAACACGAGAATTAATCTCTTCATTTTTCAAATGCCAACGACTTAATTATACGTCTTTTTGTCGTATTATAACCCAAGATAAATTAATTTCAGATATATTATCGCGCGTTAATATTTCAGTTTTACTGTTACGAATAACGACAGGAGAAATATAGCTTTCTGTGCGAGTGTCTATTCGAAAATTAGTTTTTGACGCAAATTGTTCTACGACTTTATGGTCATTCCTTGCGCGATTCTTGTTCCATTGGCTATTTCGCAGCCTTTCTAAAACCGTTAATTCCATATTGGGTATTCAGTGTACGACCGAAATTCAATAGTGCACTCATATCAATCTAATTTATCGCGATTGACCCCAAATTCGGTCAGGCATCTGTAGAATGGAACATATTGCTCCATTCATTCATCCTATACTTTCGATCTAAGGTCGAGAATCAATAATACACGAAAGCGAACCACTCATGAATATTTAATTAATTTAATATTTCATTTCTATTTTTCTCAAGCAACTGCAGAGTAGCACCTGCTAAGCGTTGAAAAAGCGCTTTTTTGCACTTTTCAAACTGTGTTAACGCTTCTTAGGTGCTATAAGCTACTTGGGATATTAAAGATCATATATCTTTTGGATTTTAATCATTCAGTCTCATTAACATATATCATACGTCTCATTATCCTAATTTATTCGTGTTACTTGAAATTTAATGGTTGATGACAAGAATATACAATATTAACAGGAATATATTAACATAAGTAGAGATCGAGATATAAATTATAAATAAAGCGAATATTGAAAGATATTGAATAGTATAATAGAATATTTAACGTAAATTTTGCGTGTTTCCTCTAATAACAAATATATTGTGAAAGATTCATATTGTTTTCAATTTACAAAGATCTTTGATATCATACGTAACGATAAAACGATCCTCACATAATACGAGTACTTTTCAGACGCACTCAACTCGCACATAATTAGTCGCTATCTTTACCGCTCTGCACGCTATCATTATAATTATGATCGCATTACATTTTTTGTTGCATCATAATTACCTAAATTAAGTAACTGTCACAAACTTCTGGACTTAATTTTTAAGTGGTTCACTTTATCAAATTTATTCCTATGGAAAAGAATATTCACTTGATTTATGTGGCACGTTTTTCATGACACTGCATTCAAAGAAGAAGAATCACTGTCGCGGTTAATTAACATAATGTAGGATGTAAAATAGTTTCCGAAATCACTCGGGCGTTCCAAATTATGATTGGCAAAACATTAATCCCAATTTTTTAGTAGAATTCTCCAAACTTCATTATACATGTATATTTTTATATCCATTTATGCGTGTATTTGTGATGACGTTGAAGCAGAGGATTTAGCGTTTTACAAATTATTATATTCAATATTTTAGGATATATACCGTAAACGGGCACAATCTATGTAGCACAGCGGTGTCTGCAAAGCACTTAGGAAGCGTTTAAGCAAGTGACATAAGCGTTTTCTGAACACTTTCCTGGCTATAGTACGTGGGAAGCGATAAATGAGATGTACTCGAGAGTTTGATTTATTTGAGAGATCCCGAGATTAATGCTTGATTTTCACCTAAGGCGATAATTCGTCCCAAGATCGGCCGCGACAACGACGTGATGCGCGATCGATCGGTCAGCTTGCCCGATCGTTGAACTTGACCTGATCACCTTACCGCCAGCCGAACGACCGTACCTTCGCCCTTCTTAATCGCGACCGCACGCGAAGAGACGACGAGTCCCATCGGTCGGTGCGGCACCAGGAGTACTGAGATGCCGGGACCAACCAGCCGGGAAAGGCATTCACTTCGCTTCAGGAGCAAACTCCCTACCTTGACACCTTGGCCGCGTCGGCAATCGCCAGTTTACCTCATATAATTACTCGGCTATTCGTTCATTCTGTGGGAGGACCGGTTGCAATCAGGCCAAAAAAAAAAAAGAAATCGGTAGACGAGTCATCGGATATTCCCAAAACATTCCAAGGTTGACCGACCGTCTAGTCGACCGGTATTTCCGGAAAAGGATGTTAGCGAGAGCAGGAATCCGTGTGGGCGATAACAGATTATATACAGATACTATCTATACGTATGCAAATGAATAGAGCGAAGGCGAAGGCCGCCTTCGTAGTCTTCCTTCTTCAGTGATAGTTCCTTTTCAGGAGGATGGAATTCTCTCGCGAGACAGAGAAAAAAGAGAGAGAGAAATAGAGAGAGTGCATTCATTAGTGACTTAGGGCAAGCCCTGTAAGAACTAATAGAATTTAAGTTATAAAAACGAGTTAGGCTGACATTCGTAGTTGATTTTTATATTGAGACGATCTAAGATCTCAAGCCATCAAGTCTTAAGCCATAAATCAATCAGAAGACTATATTAGCATCTTGACACATTACTTTAAATGGTCTTAAAATAAGAACGGGCTTTGAATATCGCCCTAAATATAGCAAAAAATATGAAAATTATACCGATAAAAACAGAAAAATAAAAATAATGTGAACAAGGTATAATAAAAAAAAAACAAGAGCAAAAGCGATTTATAAAATAAAGACATAAATATACAAAATGAAGATGTAAATGTTTAATTAGCATTAAAAAATTAATGCTAATTAAATACAAAAATTCTTATATTATTTGGTCAAAGCAGGATCCTGTGTGAATTTCTTTATATCTGTTTCTGTATATATTACGTGCCGAAATTTAATTATTCTTATCGGTCTAAATTCATATTAACATTAATTACCGAACTTTTTAATCGTTAGACTTTGTTCTAGTTCAAAGACTCGATACAATTAAACTAAATTTCATTTTCACAAGATTAAGCAGTGATATTGTGTCGCGCCCTACTAACTTTTGATTATTATACTGTGACAATTTTATATAATAGGATGAGCATCAGTTAAAATATGGTGTAAAAATGAAGTTCAGTTATTCGATCCTTATCTGATATTCATCGATCATGGCGCACGTTCCTCAAAACTCACTAAGCCGGTCTTCGCAATCATAATTCTCCGAGTCAATGGGGCATAACGCGATAATCGCATCTTTGGATCGAAGAAGC